AAACACCAGGGGCTTAAATGATCTTTTCAAATTTGCCAAAGATAAAATACAAGGTGGCGTGAAGATCTTTGAAAATTAAAAAAAATGACTAGGTGATTCTTTCAAACACAAGAAAACACAAGCAGCCCCAAGATCTTTTCAATTTTTTTCAGAATCGAATACACTAGGATCCCCAAGAACCTTTTCAACTCTTTCAAAAACAAAACACCAGGGGTCTCTGAGATCTTTGCAAAAATAAAAGCGAGGTGTCGCGAAGATTCTTTAAAATTCTTAAAAAAGATCGCATGATTTTCCAAACTCGTTCGAACAGTTAAAAACCCAAGGAACCCCAAGATCTTTAAAAAATCTTTCACAAGTTTAAAGATACTAGGATCCCTAAATGAAAACTTGAAACTTTTTAAAAAGTAAAACACCAGGAGTCTCCCAGATCTTTCCAAAAATAAAAACGCGATTCTTTCAAACTCATTCGAAAAATAAAAAGACGAGGACCTCCAAGATCTCTCCAAAATCTTTCAAAATCAAAATACAGGGAACCTCTAAGATTCTTTCAAACATAAAACACTTGGAGCCCTCGAAATCTTTCCAAATGATTTCAAAATAAAAAATACAAGAATCGCCAAAAGATCTTTTAAACTTTTTCAAAAGCAAAACACCAGGGGCTTCCAAGGTCTTTTCAAATTTGTCAAACATAAAATACAAAGTACAGTGAAGATTCTTTAAAATTCTTACAAAAAAAAAAGACTTCGCGAATCTTTCAAACTCTTTAAAAAATACAAAAACACAAGAACCTCCAAGATCTCTTCAAATTCTGTCAAAATCAAAATACAAGGAACCTCTAAGATTTTTGAAATAGATTTTAAAATAGTCACTATGGGTACCTAAGACTCTTTCCAGATCTTTCAAACACAAAACATTTGGAGCTCCCGAGATCTTTCCAAATGATTTCAAAATCAAAAATACTAGGAGCCCCAAAGGATTTTTAAACTCTTTCGAAAACAAGACACCAGGGGCTCCCGAGATCTTTTAAAATTTGTCAAAGATAAAATACAAGGTGTCGTAAAGATTCTTTAAAATTCTTAAAAAAAGATTACGCGATTTTTTCAAACTCTTTCAAACAGTTAAATACACAAGGAGCTTAAGATATTTTCAAAATCTTTCAAAATCAAAGATGCAAGGATCCCGAAGAATCTTTTAAACTCTTTTAAAAACAAAACACCAGGAATCTCAGAGATCTTTGCAAAAATAAAAACAAGGTGCCGTGAAGATTTTTTAAAATTCTTAAAAAAAGACTGCAATTTTTTCAAACTCGTTCAAAAATACTAAAACACAAGATCTGTTAATTTTTTTTTTAAATCTAAAAACAAAGGACCTCTACGATTCTTTCAAATAGATCTTAAAAAAACACTATGGGTGTCCAAGACTCTTTCAAGATCTTTCAAGCACGAAACACTTGGAGCCCCCGAGATCTTTCCAAATGATTTCAAAACAAAAACTACTAGAATCCCCAAAAGTTCTTTTAAACTCTTTCAAAAAAAAGCAAAACACCAGAGGCTTCCGAGGTCTTTTCAAACTTGTCAAACATAAAATACAAAGTACAGTGAAGATTCTTTAAAATTCTTACAAGAAAAGACTTCGCGAATCTTTCAAACTCTTTAAAAAATACAAAAACACAAGAACCTCCAAGATCTCTTCAAATTCTGTCAAAATCAAAATACAAGGAACCTCTAAGATTTTTGAAATAGATTTTAAAACAGTCACTATGGGTGCCTAAGACTCTTTCAAGATCTTTCGAACATAAAACACTTGGAGCCCCCGAAATCTTTCCAAATGATTTCAAAATAAAAAATACAAGAATCCCAAAAGATCTTTTAAACTCTTTCAAAGATAAAATACAAGGTGTCGTGAAGATTCTTTAAAATTCTTAAAAAAAAGATTACGCGATTTTTTCAAACTTTTTCAAACAGTTAAATACACAAGGAGCTTAAGATCTTTTCAAAATCTTTCAAAATCAAAGAGGCAAGGGTCCCGAAGAATCTTTTAAACTCTTTTAAAAACACAACACCAGGAGTCTCAGAGATCTTTGCAAAAATAAAAACAAGGTGCCGTGAAAATTCTTCAAAATAAAAAATCCTAAAACACAAGAACCAACAAGATCTCTTCAAATTCTTTTAAAATCTAAATACAAAGGACCTCTACGATTCTTTCAAATAGATCTTAAAAAAACACTATGGGTGTCCAAGACTCTTTCAAGATCTTTCAAGCACGAAACAGTTGGAACCCCCGAGATCTTTCCAAATGATTTCAAAACAAAAACTACTAGGATTCCCAAAAGATATTTTAAACTCTTTAAAAAAAAAAGCTAAACACAAGAGGCTTTCGAGATCTTTTCAAATTTGTCGAAGATAAAATACCGTGAAACTAGGTGATTCTTTCAAAAATAGAAAAACAAAAGCGGTCCCAAGATCTTTTGAAATTCTTTCAGAATCAAAGATACTAGAAGCCTCAAGAACCTTTTAAACTTCTCCAAACACAAAACATCAGGGGTCCCGAGATCTTTGCAAAAATAAAAGCGAGGTGCCGAGAAGATTCTTCCAAATTCTTAAAAAAAAACAAGATCTTTTCAAAATTTTTCAAAATAAGAAAGATAGTAAGATTCCTAAGAATCTTTTACATTTTTTCAACAATAAAACACCAGTAGTCTCCAAGATTTTTTCACGAAAAAAACAAGGTGCCGTCAAGATTCTCTAATATTCTTAAAAAAAGACTACGCGATTCTTCCACATTCTTTCAAAAACACAAAAATACAAGGACCCCCAAGATCTCTTCAAATTCTTTCAAAGTCCAAATACAAGGGACCTCTCAAATTCTTTCAAATAGATGTTTAAAAAGACACTATACCTATACACTAAGGCGAAAGAGCTCCCGAGATCTTTCTAAATTATTTCAAAATAAAGATACTAGGACTTTAAAATTCTTAAAAAAGATTATGCGACTCTTTCAAAAACGAAAAAATACAAGAACCCCCAAGATCGTTTCACATTCTTTCAAAATCAAAACACGCCCCTAAGATCCTTTCAAATATTAAAACAGATATTACGGGTGCTAAGATTCTTTCAAACTCCTTGAGACACAAAAACACTTGGAGCCCCTGAGATCTTTCCAAATACTTTCAAAATCAAATACATACTAGGATCCCCCAAGAATCTTTTAAACTTTTTCAAAAACGAAACACCAAGGGTTTCCGAAATCTTTTCAAATTTGTGAAAAATAAAAGAAAATGCAGTGAAGATTCTTTAAAATTCTTTAAACAAAGACTAAGTGATTCTCTCAAACTCTTTCAAACCCACAAAAATACAAGGACTCCTACGATCTTTTCAAAATCTTTCAAAATCAAAGATAGTAAGGTCCTCTACAATCTTTTAAACCATTTCGAAAACAACACATCAGGGGTCTCTGGGATCTTTTAAAAAATAAAAACAAGTTGCCGGGAAGATTCTTTAAAATTCTTAAAAAAGACTACACGATTCTTTTAAATAGGTATTAAAAAAGACACTACGCGTCCCTAAGATTATTTTTCAAACTCAAAACAAAGGAGTTTTCGAAATCTTTTCAAATTTGTCAAAAACTGAGGTGATTTTTTAAACACTCAAAAACACAAGAAGCTCTAAAATCTTTTCAAAATCAAATGGGATTCACAAGAAAAAAAGACTATGCGATTCTTTCAAGCTCTTTCAAAAACACAAAAACACAAAGACCTCTAAGATTCTTTCAAATATTAAAAAAGACACTGCAGGTGCCTTAGAATCTTTTAAACTCTTTCAAAAACAAATTAAAAGTCTAGGAACCTCAGATTTTTTCAAATACTTCAGTAAACAAAACACAAGAGATTCAAAGATTCTTTCATATTCTCAAAAAAAAAAAAAAAAATTGTAGATACATAGGTACCTAAAATTCTTTCAAACTCTTTGAAAAACCAAACACAAGAGGTTCCTAAGATTCTTTCGAATTCTTTCAACAACAAAAACTACCTCAAGAGACAGTAAAAAAGCAAAATTCCATATTATGTTTTGCCACCAACAACTAAAAAGTGTGTGTTCATTATGACGACAAATCGTCTTTAATAACTTCAACAACACCCCATTGAGTGTTCTGATAATAGCATACAGTGGCGGTTTTTACAAACATTACAAAAAAAAAATAAAAAAAAACACGAACACAACTTATTATACTCCAAGATTATTTATTTTATGAGTCTAAAAACAGCAAAGCCTTGGTATTAACATTTTATACTTTATTTCGTAATATTTATGATTCATACCGAGAAAATCACTTGCAAACAGAAGTTCACTTTTTAGCCGCATTTATTTATGAGATCTATAATTATTCCACATGAAACACTAACAGTGGTAATAAAAAGCCATAAACAGAAGTTTAACAAGTTTACACCGTTTATTGACTTTAATTTTCATTTATAGTACACGCCGATTTTACGAAAAGCGGCACAATTAGGGCGTTACCCAATATTTAATAAGCGGTACACATAAAACATTGTAAAACCAACTGATTTAGTGATTATTATATTTACTAGCTTGCGCAATTTTACTGGTTGTAAACTGAGTTTTAAATCCATAATAATGAGTAAAGTAAGAATACTTAAGTTATTGCATTTTAGATTTCGTCTCGAATTCTTAACTAAATTCCTTTCATACTTTTTAGACACACTATATATAAAAGAATTATGTGTTTTAAAGTACAAGCTTTTATCACCATCCACTCGCATACGTGCGACTTGCGTACAAGTTAATAAATCATGTGTGAGTTATTTATTAGACACCGCTATTTGCATACAAATCTTTATTGACATAGTATACAGGATGTCCCAGCGAAAATTAAAATAAAACAAAAATCGGCTTCAACAATGTTATGCCAGGGTCAACACTCGTAGCACCTCATTTGACAACCAAACATCGAGTGATTCGAATGCCAAACACTGCACTAACCTGAATATCCCTCAGGAAAATGCAGAATGCTCCCATCCGTCCTCTCCTTGCCCTTCTTCCCGAACACCCCCCGCGCCTGAATCTTCGTGAAGCTGTCGAAGCACCGATACAGCAGCAAGGGCTCGCCGCCGCTGACCCGCACAACCCTGGGCAGGGAGTACCGCTCCAGGAAGTCCCGCGCCTCGTACTCCTGGCCCGAGTCCGAGCCCGTGCTCCCCCTGCTCTTCGTCGAGTCGGGCGTGTCGTCCTTGCCCTCGGCCCGCGCGTCCTCGAACGTGTGCTGGGAGTCGTGCGAGTGGTATCTGCGCAGGATCGGGTTCTTCTTGTCCTTGCGCTTCTGCTCCTGGAAGATGAAGTGGGAGGCGTCGAAGCTGGTCAGGGCGTCGGAATGGCGGAACAGGGGGTTGTAGGAGGTCTTGGGGGAGAGCGGGTTGCGCATGCGCAGCGACGGCATCGACGAGTTGCGGCTGCAGCTCGAGCTGCTGCGCGAGGAGACGGTGTTGGCGAACATCGTGGGGCGGCGGAGGCGGCGATCTACATCGTCTGAAACCAAAATAAAAATAATGAATTCAGTTTTTTTGAAAAATAAAAAAAAATTGCTACTTTTGATTTCTAATGACCTCTAGGTATAATGTAAAAATCAGTTATTTAAATTTTCGATTTTCAAGTTTCAATTTTACAGTTTTTAATTTTCCAACTTTTAAATTTTTAAATTTTGGATTTTGCAATTTTTTGATTTCAGCTCCTGAAGTTTTCAATTGTTACATTTTTCAATTTTTCATTTCTTCAATTCTTTGATACGCAGTTTTTCGTTTCGGTTTTTTATTTTCTTTATTTTTACAAATTTTCGCTTTTTCATTGTTGTTTTTTGTTTCTTCAATTTTTCGTTTCTTCAGTTTTACGATATGCAACTCTTCGAGTTTCCATTTTATAATTTTTCAGTTTTTAGATTTTCCGATTCTTGAATGTTTCAATTTTTAAATTCTGCAATTTTTTGATTTGTAATTTTTCAATTTTTCATTTATTTGTATCTTCGATTTTTTTATTCGAGATTTCATTTTAAAATTTTTTAGGTTTGCAATTTTTCAAATTTTAGATGTTTTCGTTTTCTTTTTGTTTCAATTTGGTTTTTATTTTGTTTATTTATTCAATTAAATGTATTCGATTTTCCAATGTTTGAGTTTTAAAATTTTTTGTTTATCAATGTTAATTTTTTCAATTTTTCCTTTCCTCAATTTATGGGTTTGCGACTTTTTACATTTTCATTTTTCTTACACACATACATACATACATACATAGGACTTTATTCATGTTAAAATAATACATGATTAGGCGGCGTCTAGCCATAGGCTATTCCACTCAACCTTACAAAATAAATATTCAATGCAAAAACAATAAAATAATAAAATTAACTTAGAGATGCAATAGTTATGAAGAAAATAATAATATAAATATGTATATAATAACCACAACAAAAATATATAATTCACACAATAATTTAACAGTAAATATTAAGAATTTGGATACAGGATATATATCTACAAATATGGGCGTCCCAGATAGCTAAATTTATGACGATTCCGAGTGCAACAAAATGTTTTTTATTTTTTTCCGAAAGCTGTTCACAGAAGTACAGTACAGCAATTCAGAATTAAACTTATTATAAGACTTAATAATGTTAAATGACAATGATTTACAAAAAATAGAGGTAAAAAATCTTGACATTGACAACTGCTGAAGGTTCCTTAGTGGTATATTAGTATCTAAAATACTTTGTCTTAAGCGAAACTTCCTACGCAAATACGGAGGTGATGGAGTTTTAAACAACCGATATACAAAAACTGCTAAATGATATTGAAATACTATGTCCAGCTTCATCCACCCAAGTTCACGAATTTTGGCTGACACATGGTCATATTTCCTCAACCCAAAAATAATGCGGCAGCAGTTATTTTGAATTTTTTGAAGACGATTTTTGTCAACAAAATCAAGAAATGGATAGTATATTATAAAACAGTAGTTAATATGAGATAATACTAACGCTTCACACAATTTTTTCCTGAGTTTGAAGTTCAAAATTAAAAAATTTGAATAAAGCATTTTTAGCGCCAAATAACATTTTTTTATGACGTTCGAAATATGAGATTTAAATTTAAAATCATCATCAATAAAGAGACCTAAGTTCTTTACAGTTTGCAAAACAGGCAGCTTCTTATTTCCAATTCTAATATCTATATTATTAGCAATAGCCATTCGGAGTTTTTTAGGTGCAAAGCACATTAGTTTGCATTTATCAGCATTAAGTTTTAAATTGATTGAAGACGCAGCTTTAACAATATTCACAAGGTCTTTATTTACATCATTACACGCATCCTCAACTAGGGAAGGCTGAAAATGAAGCAAAAGTTGCGTATCGTCAGCAAACGCTCTTTTTTTACTTGATGAAGGCATGCTTAGCAATTGGGCAGTATATATAATAAATAAGATGGGTCCTAAGATCGATCCCTGAGGGACACCCGATGTAATTAATGCTAATTCAGATTTTCCTGATTCAAGCACAACTTGTTGATAACGATTGGAAAGATATGATCTAAAAAAATTAGTCGTAGTTAAATCAAAACCATAGTACTGCAATTTAGCACATAGTAGATCGTGATCCAGCGTATCAAAAGCCTTAGAGAAGTCTAGAAATGTAGCTACAGATGCATAGCTTTTATCAATGGAGTCTATACAGTCATCCACTGTGACTGCTAAAATAGAAGTTGTACTGAACCCTGTACGAAAACCAGATTGATCTTCTGTTAGAATGCCCTCAGCAGAGATGTAATTATAAACCTGTTTATAAATAACTTTCTCAAGGATTTTTGATAACGCTGGAAGGATACTTATAGGCCGTAAATCAGATAACGATTTGACAACAGTTGATTTAGGAACAGGACGGACAAGGGCCATTTTCCAACTTTGTGGAAAAAAACCAGTCTCTAAACAGCAATTGATAATATGAACCATATGTTTACATATAACAGAGAAGCATAATTTGATCATCTGAAGGGTAATTCCATCATATCCTAACGCATTTGATTTTAGAGCAGCTTGTTGCTTCAGTTTATACAATTTGCAATTTTTCAATTTTAGATTTCTCGAGTTTTCAATTTTTAGATTCTTTAATCTTTCGTTTCTTCAAATTTTCTATATTTTATTTTTATTTTTAAAATGGTCCGATTTTATTATTTTTTTTTTGCTTTTTCAATACCAGTTTTAACCATTTTTTAGAAAATTTTTGAAAACTTTGGAACCATATTTTACCTTTATTAGAATAGATGTCGTGAAGGTGATTTCGATTGAAACTGGCGGAAGATTATCTACAATTTGGCACCAATTTTCGGGCGACTGAACCAATTTTAACCATTTTTATTAAAATTTTTTGAAAATTGTGAATTCACTTTTCGTGTTTATTGGAACAGATTTCGTGACGGCGATTTCAGGATTGTAACTGGCGGAAGGTTATCTTCAATTTGACACCAATTTTCGGTCGATTAAACCAACTTTAACACTTTTTTTTGAAAAATTTTTGAAAATTTTGAATTCATTTCTCGTGTTTATTGGAACAGATTTCGTGATGGCGATTTCAGAATTGAAACTTCTGGAAGATTATCTACAATTTGACACCAATTTTCGGTCGATTGAACCAGTTGTAGCCATTTTTCGGAAAATTTTTGAAAATTTTGAATTCACTTTTTGTGTTTATTGGAACAAATATCGTGACGGCGATTTCAGATTTGTAACTAGCAGAAGATTATCTACAGTTTAATACCAATTTCCGGTCGATTGAAACGATTTTTAAATTTTTTTTGGAAAATGTTTGAAAATTTTGAATTCACTTTTCGTGTTTATTGGAACAGATATCGTGAAGGCGATTTCAGATTTGTAACTGGCGGAAGGTTATCTACAATTTGACACCAATTTTCGGTCGATTGAAGCAATTTTAACTTTTTTTTTTGAAAATTTTTTGAAATTTTGAATTCATTTCTCGTGTTTATTGGAACAGATTTCGTGACGGCGATTTCACGATTGTAACTGGCGGAAGATTATCTACAATTTGATAACAATTTTCGGTCGACTGAACCAATTGTAACCATTTTTCAGAAAATTTTTGAAAATTTTGAATTCACTTTTTGTGTTTATTGGAACTAATATCGTGATGGCGATTTCAGATTTGTAACTAGTAGAAGATTATCTACAGTTTGATACCAATTTTCGGTCGATTGAATCAATTTTTAACATTTTTTTGGAAAATTTTTGAAAATTTTGAATTCACTTTTCGTGTTTATTGGAACAGACATAGTGAAGGCGATTTCACATTTGTAACTGGCGGAAGGGTATCTACAATTTGACACCAATTTTCGGTCGATTAAACAAATTTTAACATTTTTTTTTTATTTTTGAAAATTTTGAATTCATTTCTCGTGTTTATTGGAACAGATTTCGTGACGGCGATTTCAGGATTGTAACTGGTGGAAGATTATCTACAATTTGACACCAATTTTCGGTCGATTGAACCAATTGTAACCATTTATCGGAAAATTTTTGAAAATTTTGAATTCACTTTTTGTGTTTATTGGAACTAATATCGTGACGGCGATTTGAAATTTGTAACTAGCAGAAGATTATCTACAGTTTGATACCAATTTCCGGTCGATTGAATCAATTTTTACAATTTTTTTGGAAAATTTCTGAAAATTTTGAATTCACTTTTTGTGTTTATTGGAACTAATATCGTGACGGCGATTTGAAATTTGTAACTAGCAGAAGATTATCTACAGTTTGATACCAATTTCCGGTCGATTGAATCAATTTTTACAATTTTTTTGGAAAATTTCTGAAAATTTTGAATTCACTTTTTGTGTTTATTGGAACTAATATCGTGACGGCGATTTGAAATTTGTAACTAGCAGAAGATTATCTACAGTTTGATACCAATTTCCGGTCGATTGAATCAATTTTTACAATTTTTTTGGAAAATTTCTGAAAATTTTGAATTCACTTTTCGTGTTTATTGGAACAGATATCGTGAAGGCGATTTCAGATTTGTAACTGGCGGAGGGTTATCTTCAATTTGACACCAATTTTCGGTCGATTAAACCAATTTTACTTTTTTTTTGAAAAATTTTTGAAATTTTGAATTAATTTCTCGTGTTTCTTGGAACAGATTTCGTGACGGCGATTTCAGGATTGTAATTGGTGGAAGATTATCGACAATTTGACACCAATTTTCGGTCGATTGAACCAATTGTAAGCATTTTTCGGAAAATTTTTGAAAATTTTGAATCCGCTTTTTGTGTTTATTGGAACAAATATCGTGACGGCGATTTCAGATCTGTAACTGGTGGAAGATTAACTACCACTTGACACCAATTTTCGGTCGATTGAACCAATTTTAACCATTTTTTTTGAAAATTTTTGAAAATTTTTAATTCAATTTTTCAATTTTAAATTTCTCCAGTATTCAGCGTTTAGATTCTTTACTTTTTCATGTCTTCAAA